TAACTCCGCAGAAACACACAGTGGACCGTGTTATAGAGAGTGCAGGCGGCGTAGATCCACGGCCTAAAGCGCTGATTAAGGGACCAAGCCGGCGGCGTGAGACACGCGTGAAGTTAGACGGCAGGCCGGCGTGCACTGCAGCGCCGAGCACGCGTGGTGGCTTTGCTCACGTGTGCGGACCAATAAATGGCTGGTCGATCATTACAGACGTTTCCGCGGGGGGCTATCGCGCGCGCGGTGGCCAATTAGCGACCAGCACGCCGGGGGCAGGAACATTCTAGAGAACGCCCTCAGCGGCTGGCACGTCATTGGACAGAAAGTTCCAGAACGCGCAGGAGCCAATATAAATAACGCATCTTTCTGACGAGTTGTAACCCCTCGTGTCCGCAAGTTACCAGTAAAGTGCTTGTCCTCCGAACCGGCTCTCTTCCTGTCTTACCTTTCTTCCGGCTGATAACAGTCTGACTGTGAGGTCCGAGTTATCCGTCAGTTGGCAGGCTTCCAAGTCACTTTTAGCGCACCGTGATAGCAGCAGGCGCGCCGGATTGTTTGTAGTGGGGAGAGGTGTGCTGAATAGTCGACTTCATTCATTTTTCCCGCTTCTAGGCCCATGGCACTGTCCGAACCGGTCACTCGTCTGGTGCGGGAAGTGGGCGCATTGGCTGACGTAGTTAGAGAGCCCGTCTGCGCGTGCCACACACACGACCAAGCACCAACGCTAAACAAAAAGGGCGTGGACGGCTCGGACACACGGGTTGTAATTATGAAAGGACCCCTTGTCCGTGATGGATGCCTCCGATTTGTGTGCAACTCCAACCCCAAGTGGTGCGAGAAGGCGGCCAACAGCTTCCGAAACGTTCTTGACATTCGGAAGCGCTCGCCAAAATTCGGTGTCCGTGCGGTTAGGACTTTCGTCTCTTTTGCATATGCACCGGTTGACAAAGTTGCGCGAGTAGCCACTGGCTTTGAAAACGCGTCGGAGGTATTTTAGTTCGGCAATCTTGTCTTCTGGTCCACTGCAGTGCGTTTCGGCACGCCGATAGAGCGTCCTTACACAACTGTGTTTGTGGCTGATTGGGTGGTTACTGTTGAAGTTCAGTACTTGCATCGTATTTGTCGCTTTCCTGAACACTTTGGTTTTTAGTTCACCACAATCTTTGCGGCATACGAGGACATCCAGGAAGGCCAGCTGGTTGTTCTCTTCCTCCTCCATCGTAAATTGAATGTCCGGGAAGACGGCGTTGAGATGTTCTTGGAATGTCAACACCTGATCCCGTTCGATGACGACGAAGGTATCATCCACATACCGGGCCCAGAATTTCGGTCTGTGGTGTTGGAAGACCAGCGACTCTAACCGTTGCAGGACCGCCTCGGCGATGAATCCCGAAATCGGCGAACCCATTGGTGTGCCCTTCACCTGCTCGTAGATTGTCCCGCCGAACGTGAAGTACGTCCTGAGACAGAGCTTCATGAGATGAAGGATTTGGGTATGTCCAAGACGATTCTCCCTTTCATCGTATTTGCTTTTTAGTAGCAGCTCGACTGTCTCGATCACCAGGTCCTGGGGAATAGAAGTAAAAAGGAGCACTCCACGGTTGTACTGGACAGGACAAACTATGAAGGGACCATCACAGTCCGACTCTCAGTCCATTAGTCGGAAACTCAGCGCACTGAGCCGACTGCATGGTTTGAGTTAAATCGTCTGCTGGTAACTTTTCAGGCCACGCCTTCTAATGAACCGTGATTGTCTCAAGCGCGTCAGATTGTTTGCAGTGGGGGACTATGCGATGAAAGTTGACGCCACTCGCTCTACTAGTCCGTGCACCAATCGACTGCCTGACTCGGTCGGACGCCGAGTTGAGACGAGGTGCCTGACAGGGCTGAAGACAACTCGTCTGCGCGTGCCACGCATAAGATCTGCCCCCAACGTGGAACACTAGTATTTCACACAGCTGGGGTTGGAATGCTTTGATCTCGCATGTGACAGAAAAGCCACACTGAGAAGGGGCCGAAAAACGCACTTCTAATTTGCGTGAGAGGTGCCACGTTGGAGGTATTACTGGCAGTGCATGTTTTGGCGGAGAAATGTGTAGCGATATGATCTAGTCTACAGCGAGTTACCGCCGATTTTCGTGGAGGTGCATGTAACTGATCAGGCCTATGCGATGGTTGAATGAGCGAGGTCAATGCGGGCGGTTGAGTCGACGGCGGTGGACACATGTTGGTGCTCCAGGTACTAGTTCGGCAATCTCTGTGTGATAGATTTGCAAGTGATCCACAAGACCCTTGTGTGACATGCATGTGCGGTGGCACTGTGCGCAGGATAGGTCGGGGGATATTGAGTTGGTTAGGGCTGTTATGCTGCTAGTGGTGGTCGTGTTGGTGGATGGGGTGCTGATGACGCTGGGGATTCAAGAGTTGTCGGGTGTGAAAGATACGCTTGGCGTGCCATTATGGCGGCGAATTCCGTTGTCACGTGTACACATGTGACCGAATAGGCTCATGTGGTGAGTGATTATGTATGGGAGGTGTGGGGGCTAACGCGCTGTCCTGCTTCTGAGACGATCCCGTTGCCCGTGACACATGCCATTCTGTCGTCGTGGAGCTGACGCGCCATATGCGTGAATCGCTCAGGACAGTCAATTTTTTCCATGATTTCCCCAATCCATTGCGATTCACCGTGTCAGTGGTTTTGTCAAGACCACGAAGGTAGTGTAGAGGCGGATCCGCAACTCCTGATATTTCACGTGTAGTTGGTGAGAGGTGAAGAACAGGTCGGTGGTTCCTCGATGTCGCCGGAAGTCACACTGACTTTTCGGGATAAGTTCGTGTTCTGAACGGTCGTTAGGACGATTGAGATGCGCGTGAAGATCTTTCTAACAGTGCTGAGCAGCGAAACTCCCTTGTGTTTATCACAGACCTGCCGATTTCCTTTCTGTTTGTAGAGATGGACGATTATACTGGACGCCACATCTTCTACAATATCGTTGTAAGTTTTTACTTTAGTCGGGGGGCACCGTGCTCGTAAGAATCAGCTGCGATCGCGTCGGATTCCGATACTTTCTCGCCGGTGTTGGTGCACGACTCACATGGTTTCTGGGATAGAAGACGGAAGATCCAGATCGCCATTCTTTCCACTTTGGTGGAGCCAGTCGATGGCGGCGTCGGAGATTGTAGATGGGGAGCTGAGGGCTCATCTGAAGAGCTGGGTCCAACGCTTAAGAATTTGCAACAGTTCCGTCAGGCGTGTTGTACCTCCGGAGCTGAGCAACGGCTCGGTGCCTTTGATACGGGGACCGTAGACTGTCTTGGTGGAGGCAAAGGAGTTTTTCGTTTTGTTACAATCTTCGGGTCTCCTCAGCCTTACGATCCATCCTGCTGCTGCACAGGCCGCGACGTCCAAAGAAGACTTTTTGTTTGCGTCCGTCCGACGGTCGATGCAGACTTTATGTAATTCTTTTAGCTTAGAAGGTTGCTGATGTCTGCGTCTTTGCCGTCATGGCGTTGACGACGTATGTGTGCGGCGACGTCCAAGGCAATGGAGCTGATGGTACTCCTTAGTTGACACCACCGAACTTCCACGGTGGCGTTTTCATCTGGAGTTTTAAGGTTTTCCAGTCGATGGGTCAGTTGATTGTTAAAATAGAAGTGGTGAAGAACAGGAAAAGTTCAGTGGTCGGTCCGGCAGTCGATGTTGCAGATGACCTTCGCCACCAGCTCGCCCTGTTGAGCTCGCCGTCGGACGAGAAGGTAGTCCGGCAGCTGCCGGCGTCGTGGTCGAGGCTACGTCCAGGTGGCATTATTCCGCGTCGACAGGTAGAAAAAGGTGTTGGTCAGGAGGAGGCGGTGTTCTGGGCAGGTTCACAGGAGAAGGAGGCTGTTGTCGTTGCAGCCGCCGATTCCATGAGGACCCAGCACTCCCCATCCTAGGCAGCGTAGTCTGTCCCGACGCGGGCCTTGAAGTCACCAGGAACAAGCAGCTTGTCCGCCTTCGGTCCAGTCGACAGGAGTGCGCGCAGGTCCTCATAGAACTTGGTCTTC